TGTTTGTTTGTTTGTTTGTTTGTTTGTTTGTTTGTTTGTTTGTTTGTTTGTTTGTTTGTTTGTGTGTGTGTGTTTGTTTGTTCGTTCGTTCGTTCGTTCGTTCGTTCGTTTGTTTGTTTGTTTGTTTGTTTGTTTGTTTGTCTGTTTGTTTGTGTTTGCTTGCTTGCTTGCCTGCTTGCTTGCTTGTTTCTTTGCTTGTTCGATTGTTTGTTTGTCTGTCTGTCTGTCTGCCTGTGTGTCTGTCTGTCTGTCTGTCTGTCTGTCTGTCTGTCTGTCTGTCTGTCTGTCTGTCTGTCTGTCTGTCTGTCTGTCTGTCTGTCTGTCTGTCTGTCTGTCTGTCTGTCTGTCTGTCTGTCTGTCTGTCTGTCTGTCTGTCTGTCTGTCTGTCTGTCTGTCTGTCTGTCTGTCTGTCTGTCTGTCTGTCTGTCTGTCTGTCTGTCTGTCTGTCGTCTGTCTGTCTGTCTGTCTGTCTGTCTGTCTGTCTGTCTGTCTGTCTGTCTGTCTGTCTGTCTGTCTGTCTGTCTGTCTGTCTGTCTGTCTGTCTGTCTGTCTGTCTGTCTGTCTGTCTGTCTGTCTGTCTGTCTGTCTGTCTGTCTGTCTGTCTGTCTGTCTGTCTGTCTGTCTGTCTGTCTGTCTGTCTGTCTGTCTGTCTGTCTGTCTGTCTGTCTGTCTGTCTGTCTGTCTGTCTGTCTGTCTGTCTGTCTGTCTGTCTGTCTGTCTGTCTGTCTGTCTGTCTGTCTGTCTGTCTGTCTGTCTGTCTGTCTGTCTGTCTGTCTGTCTGTCTGTCTGTCTGTCTGTCTGTCTGTCTGTCTGTCTGTCTGTCTGTCTGTCTGTCTGTCTGTCTGTCTGTCTGTCTGTCTGTCTGTCTGTCTGTCTGTCTGTCTGTCTGTCTGTCTGTCTGTCTGTCTGTCTGGTTGTTTTTGTTTATTTGTTTGCTTGCTTGCTTGCCTGCTTGCTTATTTGCCTTCTTGCTTGCTCGTTTCTTTGCTTGTTTGCTTGTTTGTTTGTTCGTTTGCTTATTTGCTTGTTTGCTGGCTTGCTGGCTTCCCTGCTTCTTCGTGTGTCTTTGTTTGCTTGTGTTTGCTTGTGTGTGTGTGAGAGTGAGAGAGTGGGAGAGAGAGAGAGTGAGTGAGTGAGTGAGTGGGTGGGTGGGTGGGTGGGTGGGTGGGTGGGTGGGTGGGTGCGTGGGTGGGTGGGTGGGTGGGTGGGTGAGTGAGTGAGTGAGTGAGAGAGTGAGAGCGTGAGAGAGTCAGAGAGTGAGTGAGAGAGTCAGAGAGTGAGATAGTGAGAGAGTGAGAGAGTGAGAGATAGTGAGAGAGTGAGAGAGTGAGAGAGAGGGAGAGAGTGAGAGAGTGAGAGAGTGAGAGAGTGAGGAAGTGAGAGAGTGAGGAAGTGTGTGTGTGTGTGTGCGTGATTGTGTTTTCAGGGGGGAACCTTTGTCATCCTTGGTTTAGTGAAACACCAGAAGGAAAGCTGCCACTTGGTCTGGTGCCCGTATGTTGACATATTCTCACAAAGGACTCACTCGGAGCGTAGTCCAATAGGGTCTCGTCCCACGGCACAGGAACCGTTCAGGTTTCCCAGGCCTCAAAAGGAAACCTTTGGACGCCACGAAAGAAGAAGGAACGCTGGCCCATGTTCTGTCTACCGGTCAATGAAGGATAAAGGTGTCGGAGCCCGGAAATGTCAAGAAACAACCATTCCCTTCATCACCCTACCCTTAAGTGGTGGTCTGGATTGGTGGTGTTCCGGGGTGGGTTCCCATTCATCCTCTACGAAAGTCAGGGCTCCAAATTCCCAAACCACATGTCCAAACC